CGTACACTCCCAAGGGATAGAGAACCAGAAATGACCTACCACCCACACAAACAATCCTAAACTCCGTCTTTCTGCGAATTGTCATAGTCTTATACGATTCGAAACCATGAAACCTCCCAATTCTCGCGAGGAAAAAATAAGATTTCAAAACTGCGGACCAAGCTAGATAAAACATCAATCACTTCGACTTACGAATAACGTAACCACGTCAAAAACAAAGGACTTCTTTTCTTCATATTCAGCACCAAATAAGGGTACCTGGTATTGAATCTATACCGTAACTGGACCAACTCAGCTGAGACCTTATGGTTTCCGCGAGTGACCAGGCAAGAGCCATAGGGAGCAGCCCTTTAGAGGCCATGCCTGCCTCCCACCACTGATGAATGAGGTAGAGTACTTGGCATCGGAAAAATACCTAATTTTGATTCAAAATATTTTCCCTGTCACCGGGGACTTACCTGAACTATGGTGGTTATTAAAGTGGATCTCACGATGCCAGCCACAACGTTGACTACCTCCAGAATTGCCAAACCCTGGAAAAGATACCTGCATCCTCACCTAGCTAAAATCTTCGCTGTACGCGCCATATCTTACAGCGCCTTCACAGCCTCAGGGCTGACCGTAAGCAAAGGACTACCTAGAGTAGCGTATAGGATATAGAACCATCCAAGCGATTGGATGGAATTATATAATAGGAGATAGTAGCGGAAAATAGGGCGGCCCATTGAGATGGAGAATGGGGAGGGGGGAAAATCTACGAGATTTCGAGTGAAGACAACTTGAACCAAGACGAAGAAGTTAGCGTTGGACATGATACTAATGAGCGTCTTTTTCCTAGGCAAATTCGAAAACTTATTTCTTTGGCGTAAACTACGCAGCGTTTCGAGCTGATATTTCAACCAGTCGTGAGAGATAACGTTCCAGAGTGACGGAGGGCCCCTCCAGGAGGGGTCATACCCGAGAATGCAGACTACAATTCCTACACTCGACCGGCTTTTCGCCGCGTCTTCGGGGATCAATTTGATTCAATCAAAATCAATCCAACTTGGAAATGAGCAACAAAACCATAAATGTCTTACATAGTTCAGATGGTTATTAGCAAGATCATTTTAATGTTTCAAAAACGATACTGTGGAACTAAAAGGCGTTATACACTATACCTTAGACGATCACAGGATTTCCTCAGGGAATGAATAGCACTAGCTGTAGCGACACGGTTTCCCCGAACCCCTGCAGACTCTTCATTGGAAGCGGACTCGCGTGCAACCCAACATCGCTTTCTCTACTAGGACTCTTATCCATATCGGAGTAATAGTGACGGAATAGACGGAAGATTAAGATTCAAATAGGAACCCCTGAAGTACGTAAGTTAGTCGAAATGTAACGAGCTGCAAAAATACGGACTTCCCGATTTACGTCACAGATCAGAACCGAATATCGGACGCGTCACAGACATATCCTGTAGTCTCATACGTTCTTGACGATTTCTCAATAAGTCTGATAATGAGTATACGAAAGAGAAAAGTAGACAGGATCAACCACGAGTCCTCGTCTCAATAAGCGACAACTATAGCAGAGTTGTCAAGCTTACTGAGAAATAGTCAAGTAGAGAACTCGCCTCGGAATGTCCTCAAATCTGCTCAAACCGATAATATCATAGTTACGGAAAAGGAAAAATACCACTCGAGTTGAGAATCGGGCCGTATCCATAGCACTGCGACTGGAGGAATGCTTGTCATAGGGAGTTCAAGTCGAGACTCTCAACGATTACTAGAGATTAGCTCGCAGTCGGAACTGATCGATACATTCTCTCCAAACATCCAATTAATCTTATGGGTAGCTTAATCTTACATGTATTGCGACTCTCAGTTTGAGAGTAACCCGGACCTCGTTGGAGTGGTTCACATATTAATAACAAGTTCAACGGCTTCATTTGAGTTTGGCAATGCCGATTCGCTTCTCATCGCCTTGGAACTCGAGATAGTTTCCAACTAACATAAAATCAGGCAGAATCCATAACCCTGGTTTGCTGACACCCCGTATATATAAACAACAGTTGCTTTCCTCAGGTGTGTCATTCACATGACCGAAGCGATACACGTATCTTCCTCTGTGAGTAACATCATGGCGATCGCGCCAACACATCTGACTCGAAACCGTTACCGTTTCGGATACTCATGATCGCCATGAACTAAACCAAAACTACAGACTCTTTTCTGATCTATTTGCTTCACCCATCCATTGTTGCGCTATGACCAATGGAACGGCAGATTCTACCGGGATCAAGACTCTCCGACGAAGCTCTCGTATCAAGTCCAAGACGTCAAGCATCAAGCCACCTCTCGCGAGAATTCCGCCTCGAGCATCATCCCAAAACACGGCCATTCTCGACGCCTTGAAAGCTCTATCCAACGAGGTCCAATCTTTACGAGCACACGTTGATGACCTACAAGCTCAGCAACCGCCGGTGACCCAACAACACGCCGCTGATACTAAAGCGCCGAGCCCTACATCAACTGTCGAGCATGGTCAACCAGCCCGTTCACATAACCCCAACGTCGGCAACACCGAGGATCCACCTCTTTCCCTACCACTCCCTCCTTCAGGAGAGGTAGACTCAGTCAACATCGCTGGCAACAATGATAGGGGTTCACCTCACTCTCAACTTCTTCCACCTTCGGGAGGGATTCAACCGGTAATCCGCCCTGTCAATGACGTCAGAGGCTCGCCTGTTACACACCCTCTTCCCACTCAAGAAGAAGTCTGCCCGGTCAATCCCACTGTCAACTACGCCAGAGGTACACCATTCCCTTACCCTTTCCACATGTCGAGAGAGACTTACCCTATCAACTCACGTGATCACCATGCCAGAGGCGTATATCTCTCTCATCCTCTCCCTCCTTCAGGAGAGGTCTATCCGGTTAACCCCGCTGACCACAACGTCAGAGGCGCATATCTCTCTCATCCTCTCCCTCCTTCAGGAGAGGTCTATCCGGTTAACCCCGCTGACCACAACGTCAGAGGCGCATATCTCTCTCATCCTCTCCCTCCTTCAGGAGAGGTCTATCCGGTTAACTCCGCTGACCACAACGCCAGAGGTGCATCCTTATCTCATCCTATCCCTCCTTCAAGGGAGGTCTACCCAGTCAACTCCGCTACGGACAACACCAAAGGTACATTCTTCTACCATCATTCTCCCCTTTCAGGAGAGGCTCATCCTGTCAACACCGCTGTTAGCGACTCAAGAAGGCCAACTTCTGTTCATCTCTCTCCTACCTCCAGAGATTTCTTCTCCGCCAATCCCGCCGGTAAGACCACTAGATGCCTGTCGATACAACTCCCCTCCCCGTCTGAAGTGAGCTCATTGAGACATGCTGATAATGAGCTCATAGACCTATCTCCTCGTTCTCAGCGTGCCGTCACCTCAAGGGCAGTGCCAACTGCACCACAGTTCCCGACAAGGGTTCACGGCTCTGATGATGCTACGGCTCCACTTCTTATCAACCATAATGAACACCAACCACAAGATCGGGCTTTCCACGTGGTGACTCGGAAGCTATCGGTGCAAGATTGTATCACCAGAGCACAGACCATTGGTAACCTCCTTCCTGGCAAGTCTCTATGGTGCGGTTCTCGAGACATCCAGAAGAGAACTTTCGCTGAGACTCGTCAGCTGGTCACGACCAGTATGTCGTATAAATGGTCACCTCCGTGTACTCAGTACTTCCTAACCAGGCAAGTCTATGCACCTTTCATCGTGCAGAGGTTAGATCTATGGGAAACCAAGCAAGATTATGGGCCACTTCTGTCCTGTGCTCAAGATCCCTACTCCACCTACTGGAAGGAAGCTACCAGGCGTCAGTGGTTCTACCTATCAGCTTGCTTCGACAAACACAACTTGGACTCTCTGGAATGTCGCTGGAGTGACCTGAAGCTGACTCCCAATCTCCACTGGGATGATTACATCACTCAGTTTGAGGTGGTGGCATCCCAACTTGCTCAAGCCAGGGGAGTCAACGCTCTTACTGAAGCTGAACTCCGGGCCCATCTCTACCTATCTCTCCCCAAGGCGCTACAAGCTCATTGTGTCCAGCTCGGCTACAACGTGGGAGAGAAGCGGATGGACTACGATGGTCTCGTTAATACCTGTGCTGGTTGGTGTGAGCTCAATTGGCAAACTCTTGCGCCCGCAGCAGGCACGGCCACAGTCAGCAACGTCGCTCTGGCATCTGTCCCTTCTGCGGAATCGTGCACTCCTCAAGTAATCACTTCTTCCTCTACTACGACCCAAGAGAACCAACAGAAGACCGACAAGAAAACCCGACCGACTAGACCATCTACACCCTATCGTCAGAGAATCAAGGACGATTCTTCCATCCTCAATGATGAGTACAACATCAAGATACTCTCCAGTCGCTGCCAAAGATGTCTGTCCGAGTCGCATGACACCATAGCGTGCTGTGAAGAGCTCACAAAGAAGGATGAGAGATGCTACTACTGTGGCCTCATCCACCATCACTCACGCCACTGCCCTGCTGGTCACGACAACTATCGAGGTCGCAACTGCGAGCGTTGCAACAAGGTCAATCATGCTGCTCGCGCATGTCGTCGATATCGACCCGGTGCCGCACCCGTTGCTGCTGCAATCCCTTCGACTGGCGTACCGAAATCTGCATCGACGACTGGTACTCCACCACTGAGTTTTATCAACCTCTATGTCAACCACTCAAGCGGTCATACACCGGCCCTGGTCGACTCCGGAGCGGCTGTATCGGTGGTCAGCAGCTCGGCCGCAGCATCTCTCAACCTCACAGTTAGCAGAGCCGACCTTCGGATACGCCTAGCTGATCTCTCTGAGACCCCTGTCCGCGGTGTTGCGAAGTCGGTCCCTATATCCTTTTCCAATGGTAGCCGTTGCACTGAAGACCTCTACGTGCTCGATGGCTGTGCCCACCAGCTCATACTATCGGTAGGGCTTCTAAGAAGACTGAAGGCCATCTGGCATTTGCACGATAACTACATCGTTTTCGGTGACAACGAGGATGGCCAGCCGATCTCTATGGTGAGCATGCCCAAGCCTAGGAATGAGCCATCAAGTCCATCTGTGTATTCTAGCACAGTCGCTGAGCTATGTAACATCATGGTTTCTGAAGCACGGTCAACCCAAAGGGGCACATGCTGTGATGTTGACACCTCCGAGTCAAACACCATAACTCTGCCCCAAGATGTTTGGGAGACTTTGGCACTCTCCTTCTTTCCCGAACCTCGAGAAGACGACTCCAGCCCCACTAAAGGTCTCACTCGGTCTCAAACCATCGACGCCTTCCGGGATCAGTTCACTGACCAAAGGAGCTCCGAGAAGCACGGAAATGACCTATTCGACTTCTCCATCGACCCCCCATCTGATACTGCTCCTCGGGGACGGTTGCACTGCAAAGTCCCATGGCGTGATGCGGCGAGACCGTCACCTATCCACAACCAATCTGCAATCAAAAGAGATTGCATCGTTATGGCCAGGCTCACCGATGCGGAGGCTTCAAGCTACCACCAGGTGGTGAACGATCTGTATACTCTCGGCTTCGTCGTCCCTGCACGTCTCCAGAGTACCCCTGACACCGAGCCTTCTACTGTCATGTATACGGACCATAGCCTTCCACCGGTCTCTACGCTAATACCGGCATTTCCGGTTTTCCGAAAGTGCTCAAAGACCTCGAAGACGAGGTTGGTGTTGGACTGCAAGTATCACAACGGCTTCCTCAGAAGTGGTCGACAAGCCAACGACACTACCTATCCGGAGACGTTATGGGCTAATCTAGCGCTGAGCCGTACGGCGAAGGCCATGGTGGTCGATGATATCTCCAAAGCCTATCATCAAATCAAGCTTGATGACGCTTTGGATCGACGACACTTTGGAATGATGGCGTGTGGCCGAGTGGGAATGTGGGTCTCTACTTGTTTCGGTGCAACGTATTCTCCATCAGCCCTGCTGCAAGCAAACAAGGCGGTTCTTACCTTGAGAGACTTCGAGTCCGGCCACATCACTCGTGACCAAGCTCTCACCGATCCTGTCTGTCGATCTCTGATCTCTCAGTTCGAGGGGAATTTGAAGTTAGGTTCTCTGACATTGAACCATGGAGACGTTTCCAGCAAGAACAGCGCCACAAGTAACAATGGCCAAGACCCTCTCCTCAAGCACACCGCCATCTACGTCGACGACGGTCAGACTCGAGGCAAAACGAAGGAAATCGCCCTGAAAAGGGCCAACTTCTTCACTGCCACTCAGTCTGGTCATGGCTTCCACTCCAATGTGCCAAAGCGCAGCAGAAGCTGGGGTCCGATCACAAGTACCAAGTATCTCGGTTACGGCTGGCAGACAGGTGATGAAAGTGATCAGCTCTCCCCCACTTTCAGAGTGCCCGAGGCCCTTGACCTCGATAATCCTCCTTCGACTATCACTCGGCGCCAACTATTCAGTCTCTGCCAAGGTCTATATGACCCCCTTGGTCTGGCCTCAGAGTACTCACTCTGCTTAAGACTCTTCATGGCCACTTACTACACCGTCGATGTCACCAACCACGCTGGCAAGCCGCCCAATCTATGGGACATCGACATCGACCCTGAAGGTGCTGCTAATGTGCTCAGTTTCTGTCGCGCCCTCACCACTGCGGATCTACTCTATCCTCGGTTCGCCGACATCAGCAACATGATGGTCTTCACCGATGCCAGTGTCACTGCTGGTCATGCTACCATACTCTGTCCGACGACCGATTCCGAGGGTAGCGTTTTTTACCACAAACTGGTTGGCAAGGGACGTCTCTGGTCTACTCGAACTAGTCAAGCTCGTTGGTCTATTCCCAAGAAGGAACTCGTTGCCTTTTTCGACGGCCTCACCCTTGCGACATCTCTCGTAACCCTGTACTCGAAGTTTGCAATCGAGACCCCAATAAAATGTCTATCCCTCTACTGTGACTCCGAAGCTCTACTGTACCGTCTCCGACGTGCATCAAAGGGCGATTTCGGAAAGACACTCTCTAACTTGGAAAAAAAGGCTCTGAAGAGAGGTCTGGTCGATCTCAACCACATAGCAACTACACTTCGAGTCCCAGTCACAACTTACCACATCGAAGGTGAAGCCAACCCCGCTGACACTGGCTCTCGGCCCAAGATCAACGGTCAACTACCTAGTCCCCTCGAGGACGCAGTCATCGAGAAAGGTATCAACGCCGCCCATGCCAAGAATCTCTCGTATGTCTACACGCTGGAGGCGACTCCAGTAACAGACGTCCTATCCTACGACACCATCTCGGTGGCTAATCATTTCAACAATGATCAGTTGCTCAAGTTTCAGCAGGAAGACGGCCGTGCAAGAGCCATCGTGGACACTCTCAACTCTACACCTTCAGCTGAAGTTGCCCATAACCTGAGACTATATCACATCTGTCCTGATAGTGGTCTACTTCTTTATAGTGGTGTCAGCGACAGCAATGGAGGAACTGCATGTCGACCAGTCCTGCCACGCGGTCAAGGATGTGATGAGGTACTATCCCTCCTACACGACAAGCTCGGGCATGACAACGCCCCAAAACTGAGATCCCTCTACAACGAGGCCTTCTACACTCCTAAGTTGCGTATAGCTCTACTTCGTCTACTGAAGACATGTCACGTCTGCCAGTTGGCCAAGAAGCAGTCTGGGTACAAGAAGCGAGCTGGCTGCGTGCGCCCAGCGCATCTGTGCTTTGACATCGGTCAAGTTTGGTGTCTTGACCATGCTGGTCCTTACCGTTGCCCGGTATCCGGCGAGAAAATATGGGTCCTAACCTGCTGCGATCCGGTATCGGGCTTCCTTCTCTATGATAACACTACATCTCCAACGGCCTCTTCCATATGCTCATCCCTCATCAAGCTGTTTTCCATTGTGGGCGACCCTGCTTGCATCACTGTTGATGCTGGGTCAGCTATGACCAGCCGTGCAGTCGAAGGGTTCTGTGTGACGAGGTCAATCGCCTTCACAGTTTTCCCTCGCCAGTCAAAGTTCATCGCCGCTGTCTACGAGAGAGGTCATGGGCTCCTACTCAGTCAATTAAGACACCGGCTACTACAAGAAGAGGATCAGCCACGACCTTTACCGGACACAATCGCCGAAGCCGTGTATGCCATAAACTGCTCTCCACGCCACGATTTGGGTACATTATCCGCCTTCCAGCTCTTCTACTGCCGTCGACCTCGACTACTCGCTCCGGCGGAGGAACTTGAGGATTGGTCTCGAGCCAAGCTTGAAAATTGGATACCCAGCATTACCGAAGGCCAGCCTCCAACTATGTCCTACGTCCTATGTCCTATGTCCAACTATGTCCAAAGGCCATCTACGATGACTTACAGGAGCGTCGCACCCGGAGCCTACTCGACTTCTTCACACTGGTCAAGGAGGCAAAGGACCGTATCCGAGCAAGGGCATCTAAACTTCCCCAACAGTCTGGTTTCAAGGCTTTCGACATTGGCTCTCTGGTTCTGCGGCTTGTACCTCCACCGCTCAAGCAGGACGTCTCCTGGAGAGGCCCCTACAGAGTTGTCGCCGTCTCTGATGACCAGCTCCTCTACCGTTTGGAAGATGTCAAGACCGGTACTCAGCTCAAGTTCCAAGAATGCTACTTCAACCTCAAGCAGTACCATGCCAAGAATCCCGTCCTCGAGTCCCTTCCAGTTCCAACTGTTCAAGATGGTTCTACTCTGAATCTAACGGATGGCGATCTTTACTGCTTCCGGTGGATCGACGAGCACGGATGCGAGCATCGGGACTTTGGCCTATACGACTCTGAGTTGAAGAAGATGGTACTGAGGAAAGTCCACATCGACGGTTCCATCGAGATCTTGACCGACTTCATCGATCAGCAATATGTCTGCGACGTCGATATCCACTACGAGTGTCCACTCCGTATGACCAGATCGATCAAGAACCGTATCATCAAGTACATCGAAGGTGGTAACCTGTGTGATGCTGATTAGGATTTTCAGATGTAACCTTTATATATTCATTTGCTAATTAATCCTTTAGCTACTGTTCGCCCGGGAGTGTGTCATTCACATGACCGAAGCGATACACGTATCTTCCTCTGTGAGTAACATCATGGCGATCGCGCCAACACATCTGACTCGAAACCGTTACCGTTTCGGATACTCATGATCGCCATGAACTAAACCAAAACTACAGACTCTTTTCTGATCTATTTGCTTCACCCATCCATTGTTGCGCTATGACCAATGGAACGGCAGACAGGAGCATAAGTGTGATAGCTTATTTCTATTGGGACTCCCTCCCCCGTAGAGGATTGTAATAGGAACCTGAGCGTCGGCAGGTACTCGCGGTAGGTACAGTCGTATGTCCATCTTTTAACAGACTCGTGGTATATAATCTCAACCTTCTCCTTGGCGTTATCACTGGCCTGCTTGGCAATATCGTCGATAAGCTTATTTATTTGAGAAATCGGGAATACTATGAAGTTGGTTCCAGTATCCAGAAATATTCTTTCGTTGTAAGGTGTGATCTGTCCAGTAACAATCTCTACACCCTTCAGCTTCACCGTCCAAGGGGCCTGGGCTTCGACGGGTACATAACTCAGCTCTCCTTCGTATAGTTTGGGATCTCCTCCACCTA